TCGAATCAAATTCGCAAATTCTTTGATGCATTTGATACTTAGTTTTAAATATTTCAGGATTAACACTACGCACTATCGCGATCTCGTCTTACAGCTAGAAATATTTGATTTAATTAAATATAACGAATTAATGAAATGAAGGTATTGCAAGAAAATGCATTTCATTTATTGCACTATTTATTTYAATTCGATTTTATTACTCGACGTTAAAAGTGCGAAGTGTTATTAGGTCATCGAGGGAAATTATTATCTGCTTGGACATTCGATTAAATGTTCTCGTGTATGATCAATGAACTCTAAGTTCATTGATGGTCCACGAGTTAGAAAAATGAACGCGAAATGTAAAATAATTTTTGAATAATTAAGAATTAGAATCATAACAAAATACGAGTTCACTTGCAAAATTAGTATGAAAGATCTTATCTTGCTTGCAAGTAGGAAATGTCCAAATGCAGTTTTCATAGAATGAAGAAAGAAGAGGCTTAATGCCGAAGAGGCCCCCACTTAATTGTGGCTGAAGAGGGCAACTACTGGCTACTGAATTATTTTCAAAGGTTCAACATCATGTTTGAATCTTTCGAGAATGGTTCTTTAGTCATATTTTATATTTTATTATATTACTTTTTTGCTCGTCATTAATTTGTAGTTGTAATTGGAGATGATGAACCATTCCATCTCCTTGGGACTCCAAATTTGTGTCTAAATCGTCAAAAAGATGCATATGTGTTTAGTTAGTTCGAGTCAAAAAAATTTATTATTACATTTTTAAGTCTAATTATCGTTTTTTGAATGTTAAACTAATCTCTCTTTTCTTTTTTTGTCTTTAAGATTTTTAACTGTGATCGTATTTTTTATTAAATTTCTATATAATGCAGCTTAAAAGTATTTCATAATAAATAATAGATATTATTATTTTGTAGTAACTTAATACTTGTACTTTTACATTTTTATTTATTTTTTATTTTCTGTAAATCTAAAATCACGCGTTACAATTTAATTTCATTGCAACAATAAATGGATATTTGATAAAAATAAATTGTAATGTAAATTAAAAAGTGCATCTGCAAGTTGGACGATTTATATGTCAGGCTATTGCATAAGTTGATTGTATGATTAATATAGTTTTCTTTTTGTTACAGGTGATCTTCGTTAAACTTAACAACAAACCTTTTTCATTCTTCTCCATTTGAACGCCTTAAATGACTACTCTTTAAAATATATCTGTAAATACATTTCTGAAGGCACACACAGTTTTATATACTAAAAAAAAAAAGATAGAAACATTTCTACATAAAATGGCAGTTTTTAATATTATATATATATTGGCATAGATAACATATATAAATCAATATAAATATATCATTTACAATTTTGTTAGTTCTTTCTAGCACCATCAAAATACACCTATGTTCCAACAACATGTATTTTATAAGAAAATAGATTGTCGCAAGCTATTCATCAAATTTCGATATTTTAATTGTTTACCTTATTTATTAACTATTCAGATCTAGGATTGCAATAAAAAATGGTCGGTAAAATGAAATCTAAGAATTTATCAGGATGCGAAACACAGTTTTTTCTTCCAAAATATTCTATAACATACATACCCCATATTATACCATTACCCAAGATAAGGGAAAACCATAAAAATGTATTGCCTACTTTTCGTGTAACAAATGTTAAAGGAAAGCCAACAAAACCAAACATAAATAGCATTGCTGGGCAGAAAAATTTAAAAACAAAGTACATTATATATTCGTGAGCTAATGCGGATAAAATAAATACGGAGGAAGTTGCAATAATTCTATTTTGATTCGTTAAAATCTCAAACACATCTTTGTATACATAAGCGTAAAGCCAATCGTGTACAACCACATTCCAGGTCCTGTAATAGACGCTATAAGAAGATGAGTTCCACCAATCCTGGAAAGAAAATACATATGAATCATGCGATAATGCTAACGATTATAAATTAATTTTATACAAAAAGAAATAGTGAAAAAGATGGCGGAGTAAAAAGAAAGATGCAAAAAAATCCTTTTTTTTTTTACTTTGTAAAACAATCGATCCGCAAAACGTAGTATTTCAGCGCAAGCATTTAACCAAGCATGTAAAAGACAATAAAATCCACAAAGAAAGAAAAGAATTCCAGGCAAGGATAGGTTTATTATATTGTAAAACATTTCTTCCTTTTTCATAGGTTTCGTTCCATGTTTTTTATATATTGGCTTAACAAAACTTTCGTATAGGAAGGCTATGTAAAAAATAATTAACAAAACTTCCAAATAATGCCAGAGAACAAATTTCCATCTAATATATTTTGTCCTAGAATATAATTTACAAATGTAATTATTATTATTGTTATTATTAAAAAATTATAACTCTCGAATTAATTCAATGAACTTACCTTGGATAATGATCTCTGTAGATTAACGTCGGTGCGAATAAGAAATACAAATATTTCGAAACATCCGGTAGTTCTGGTTTTTTCGTATCCGTGTGAGCTTTGTATTTAAGAAATTGTGGTGTCGTACTTCTTATAAAAGCGTAAGATTTCATTAGCATACGAACCTATTTGACAACAAAATCAATCAAAATGTTAATTCTAAGAACTATGTTTTCTAGGTCGTGTATCGATATATTTAAAAATTTGATTTTTAATCACCTTTTCAAATATATGTTCTTAAATGTATTCATACCAAAAATTTATATTTATACAGGGTGGGTCATCACATTTTACCATCTAGGTTTACGTTATTATTATTACGCGTAGCAGACAATGTTTCACATGGAGTTGAATGGCTTTGAAAGGGGTTTATACTGATGTTACTTTTTTTTTGTAGGTGGACGTGTAAAGGACATATGAACGTCATTAATGTTTTTTTAAACGGAATCATATATTTTTTATTGCATCATCTGATGCTCTTTCGTATTATTTACAAAAAAGTATTAACCTATTTATGTAAAAAAAAATTATTACTTTAGAAGATATTTTAATTTTTATGTCTATTTACAAAAGAGGTTCAATGTGGCGACCATTTGCATCAGAACACTTCCTGAATCGAGAAATTAATGACTCATTAACGTTTCTTAATGTATCTGATGTTATTTTCTTGCATTCATTGACGATACGATCCCTCATATCGGCCATTGTAGTCGGAGATTCGGCGTAAACTTTATTTTGTAAGTAGCCCCCATAAGAAAAAGTCGAGGAGCGTTAGATCTGGTGATCTAGCCGGAAAATGAATGGGCCCACCTCGTCCTATCCAACGATTTGGGAACATTTGATTTAATGTATCCCTTGCTATTCTTGAATAATGAGCAGGGTAACCATCCTGTTGTATCTACATGTCGTGTATACATTGGTAAATCGTCTAAAAATGTCCATAGAGTGTTTGATAAAAAATTTGCATATTTTGGTCCGGTAAGTGATCCTTCGATAAAGTATGGACCAATAAGTTTATCGCCGAGTATGCCCATCTAAACATTTACACTCCATCGATGTTGATTATCCATTTGTCTAAACCAATGAGGATTTTCCGTTGACCAATAATGGGCATTTCTTGAATTCATTGATCCATTTTTCGTAAACGTTGCTTCATCCGTGAACATAACATTGCTGAAAAAGTTGTCTATTTGATTGAGAACCCAATTACAAAATTCTAAACATTGATAACAGTCATTTGAGATCAGTTCTTGAACCTTTGATGCATGACATAAATGATGTTTGTGCTTTATCAGTATGCGTAAAATACTTTTGCGGCTAATTCCAGCTGGTCTTTCGATTTCGTGAGAGCTAGCGGATGGATTTATCGTAACTGCGGCTAACACTACAATTTCGTTTTCTTCTGGTTTTTGTCTGGTGAAATTTTTTAAAAATATTATCAAAGGTACGACGTGATGGAGTATTTCGTTGAAGAAATCTATTGGCGTATAATATTACGCTGAGCCTCCGACTACAATGGCCGATATGAGGATCGTATCGTCAATGAATGCAAGAAAATAACATCAGATACATTAAGAAACGTTAATGAGTCATTAATTTCTCGATTCAGGAAGTGTTCTGATGCAAATGGTCGCCACATTGAACCTCTTTTGTAAATAGACATAAAAATTAAAATATCTTCTAAAGTAATAATTTTTTTACATAAATAGTTTAATACTTTTTTGTACCCACCCTGTATATAACTTGTATATATTTAAATAAATTTGCATTTAAATAATTCTAATCATAAAGATGTTTAGTAACGGGACGATCATATATACATGTTTACTTCTAAAATAAATTTACCTGTTCTAAAAGTATTATAGTGCTTGAGGCGATAGGTAGCCATTCATCAATTACAGCTTTAGCCGGTAGGATGATGAAAATAATCAGATATAACACATATCCTGTAAGCCATCCGTAGTCCCATATTTTCAAGGTAAGTGCTACGTTAAATAATATCGTAAATTGTAAATATCGTTTGGAAAGGAATTCTATTTTTTGGTTTTGTTATTTTTTAAATATTTTTTTTTTTTTTTTAAGAAGAAGAAAAATAAAAAAGAACCATGTATTTTTTACATGAAGGCAAAAAATCGAGACGTTTGTGCGACCAGATGTAGAAAGGAATGTAAATTCCAATCGTGCTTAATTTCATTAAGACCCAAATGTAGAGGACGCTTGATAACTTTCCAAAAGAATATCTTATGGTATTAATCCCAGCATTTATTCTAAAAATATCCCCACCCCCCCAAAAGAAAAAAAAGAGAAGATAAAAATTGATGTACTAGTCGATTAAAACTTACTATATTGTTTACTCTTTTTTTATTTATATAAATAAATTCGCATTGTATATATGATAGTGGGTTGAAAAATTGTGATCCTATTCTTTTCCAATAGTATTGAAAGTACGTCGAATAATATAAAAAATAATTGTGTTCTTATGTTAAGCTCAAAACTTATCAACCCTCACACATATTTTTTCCTCGATATTCAATGAAATAAAACTATAAATAATCATACTTACGATTCATCATTCACAATGTCGTATGTAATAGTATTCATAAAAAGTAATATTAGAATCGTTAAAAATATATTATATACTGTCTTTACATGCTCATTGGTATTAAAAAGATCAGTAAGTAATGAATTTCTTTCTAAAAATTGTTTCTCCGGTAAAATACTTTCTTTAGATAATTTTCTGCGAACAAAAAAAAAAGAGTTTTTATGATCAAATAAAAACATGATTTCCTCGTCAAGTTAATGACATAGTTTAAATGAATTTAAAAAATATAAATATATTAACACTTAGCCGACCGCTCGGGTAGATCTACCCTTTTCATCTGAGGAACGCTTCTTTCTCTATAGAGCTTATTTATATAGGATACAACATATAATAAAATGCATCAATTTTTGAAATCTTTTATTGCTCATTATTACGGCTCTTTATTTTCGGGATTTCCGATGAAGTCTTTGCCAACCATAAAATTAATTTCTAAAACACTACTTCAGAAAAATGCGCGGTGGAGAGCGCAGTTTGGCTTTCCCGAGCGCGGTGGAAACTGTAGAGGTCTCTGTGGGGTGTTCGGTCGGCTAAGTGTTAAGTTAAATATAGGGTATCTCAAAAATTCCTTAATCGAATTAAAAAATTAGAAATTTTAGTTTGCCAAATATTTGAAGTGATTAAATCATGGATTTATCTTTTTTTTTTTTAACAATACTGTAACTAGAGATTTATATAAAATGATAATTTTCAAAAGTACTTTGTGCTAATAAATGAATTTGACTATCTCTAAACATATTAGATTATATATGACGATAATGATGCAATTATTAATTTAATTAAATAAATAAAATTATGATGATTGACCTTATTTGAACTGGTAGATCTGGAAAAATATTTCTTATTAAAATGATTCGAATAATTTTCATCAATATCATCGTATTTGTTTCAATTACGTAAAGAAATGAAAAGGAGAATAAACATTCCGTACTCAAATCTTAACGTACGCCTATGATCATGTGTTACTATTATCAATTTCGAACCGACGAGACGACTCCTAATCTGGACAATAACTCTGTCTTTGAGAATAAGTAAGAGAAACAGACGAACAGTACTATATCTAATAATAAAATAAATCTTCGTTAATAAAACAATCGTTGGGGAGAGCATGAAAGTGTATATTAAGTGCGATATCAATGATTCTTTTACGTTCATTTATAAATATCGTAGAAATAAATTGACAATGAGATCGATGAACTTTCGAAACTTTGGAATAATACGAATATTCATTTTTCGTATACATATTTACAGACATCAAGTATAATAAAAAATAATTATTATTAATAAACTTATTGTTTATAAAATAAATATACAAAATTTAATATATATAAAATGTAAAATTATTATATACACATAATACTATAATGATAATAATATACAGGTAAGAAAATTTTATATGATGTAGTACTATGCACAATCGAATGTATGGGAATGGTAGATGCATACAGCACAAATAAGATTAGTGGCATTTAAAGATATAGAACAAGACAGCAGGGTCACACTCAATCATATCATTAGATTCATTAATTTTATAATGCTAAATCTAAACGCATATGTATATTGTGATTATGGAATCATTCATTCATCTATATAAATGGCATAAAGTAATTTCTTGTATATTTGTTTGAAAAATTATCAAATATTAACGTAATAAAACTAGTAAACTGAATTGAACTGTGACCGTTTTATCCGAGTGCAAGCGCACTCGAGTTTATTTTTTTTTCTGATATTATGTATACATATATATATACTTCGAGATAAAAATTGGAATTTGAACAAGTGTGATAATACGTTAGATATTTTTTAATATATAATACAAAACAATACGACATATTTTGTAATAACAATGCAATACTAACCTTTTATCGTAATATTTGTTATTCAAATCATTCGAGATTTGTTGTGATCTGTCAAATTTGTTGAATACCTCAGATACCATATCATTAACGCGTTCATTAACATGACCAACGATGTTCTCCGAAATTTCCTCGGGAAAAAAAAATAATGTAAACAACTTTAATACAAATATCTATACACACGTATTTTCTTCTAATACTTTTTACAATCAAATAAATTATTTTATTTGAAAACTAATCCGTGCGCGTTAAGGAAATAACAACTAACAATATCTTACTTGCATTCGTACTCGTATTTCAGCAGCTATTGCTTCATCCATCATCTTTTTCTTTTTGTCTTCGTTAACTATAAAAAAAAAAACCGTTGATTTTTAAAATGAAATATTCATTAAATTCTTTCTGTCAAATTTTGATACCTTGAATAATTATTATTTAATATTTAAATGACTTAAAGTATGTAAACATAAAGTAGGTCTTACTAATTACTTTATAAAATATTCGAAATAATCATATTTAAAGAATTATAATGATATACACTTTTGCAGTATATCTGCAGATTATCTGGTATCTTTACTCAGGTAAACATTATATAGTTATATGTACAGGGTGAATCATGTAATTTGACTTTCCAAAATAACTTTTAAAATATATATTGTATGAAACAATGTTTCCTATATAATTAAATTTAATCAGGAGGCAAACGTCAGGTTTCGTGAATCATCCTGTATACACTTGAAATGTAAACTCACCTCGAGAATCGGAAACTTCTGAATAACCGTTCATTATTGCACTTGTTCGGTGATTCAATTTTACATTCTTCTCATCCTCCATAATCTTGTATGACAACTTAACTCATGCGAGTACACAATAAAAGTTCTTTGAACGATTAACCGAAAGTAGTTTCGAAAGTTTACGAACGTATCAGAAGCGTTTTCTTAGCAAAGCAGCACACACGACGATAGCGAACGAACGAAATATATATACTCTACCTCTAGTACGTTATTATAAAGTCTATTGGTGGGAATTAATCTTTCTGACGTACAGTAAATTTACCATCGTGCGCATATTCTAAATATTTATTTTGTATTATTACTTGGTTTTCGTTGTATTTTTAACGTTAATTGCCCTAAACATTTATTATCATTAAAATTTTGAAAATTGTTTAGGTTTTTTTTAATTTCTTAATAATTCTTCGTGTTAGGAAATTGCGCAAAATCATTTGAAATTGTTAATAACGATTAAAATTAAATTTAAATATAATAAATAAATTGTAAATAATTAATTCCTTCGTACGATGAAGCAAACAAAAAAATTTTAAACGCAAATAGATCATTATTTTTTCTCTTATATTATATAATGTAAGCAAAAATAATGAATTAGACAGAAATTCATAAACAATTATAAGTATTACTTTATTTTCATTTGTTGATAATGTCAGTTCGACCTCTTAATCGTCGGTTCAATATCATATCTTCCCACTGAAGTGTACCACGCTTTGCATGACTAGTTAGCAAGAATGAATTTTCGAAAAATTGTACTATTTATATTTTTAAGGCCTCTTGCAATGCCTCTAATGCAATTACCTGTATTCTTTGAAAATGTTAAGGAAAAATATCGTTATTTATTTTTTCTTTTTCTTTTGTCTATATTATTGTATCGGTCTTGTAAATTTAAATTTAAATATTTGAAATATGAATGTAAAATTAAATACCTATTATATCCGAGAATATAATTCTATAAAAACTTGTCTAATTAAACGAAGAAACGATGCTCTCGGTATAAGAAGATTGTGTGGTCTTTTTAAGATATATAATATCACTTAATATGCGTTTCTTTTGTGATGGTCATTTTCGCGTATTCTCGATCGCTATTAAAATAATAATTTCAAAGAAAATTATTATTTAAAAATGTTCCTTTTGATTTATCTGATGAAATACCTTTAGAAATGTTATTACTTATGTTCGCTAGAAAAATTGACCAACCTCGGCTGAGATTTTCATCGTACCATAATTAAAAGTTTTTATGACTTAATATTTTTAAGTATTTTATTATGCTTGCGTCTTTTGCAGATCTATAAGTTTTTCTAATATGTTATTATTTAAAATTGTTATCAAATGGAAATAATACAGAGTACGAATATGATACATGAAAGGATATTCTGGCAAGGTCATATTAAAAATACGATTGAAATAAACCAATAAACATACTGTTGCCATTAGAAACTTAAAAATCAACTCAGTATATTGCTTTTCTATTTTACTGTAATTCATATACATATAAATAAGGTTAGAAAAAACTTAACATTAAATTATTATTGTATAGCACTTTATTAAATTAAAATATAATACTGCTTCGTTAATATGAAAATACAATAATCAATATAAATTTATTATAAATCTAATATAAATAAAAAGTTAATTTTATCTCTATTGTAAGTTTTTAATTGTATTCAAAATATTATTCTAATATTGTGTAATGTCAATATTATTTTATATTCTATTTAGAAATTAAAATCACAGTCTTGTAGATCTTCGTTATCAAAATTTAACAATTCTTTAATATCATCGATAGAAGTTTCTTCTTTCTTTTCAGGTTCATTCATTTCTAATGATTTATTCTGATGTTTTTCCACAAATTTATCTATTCGTAATTGATGAGAATCTAATGTTTGGTCCATTCTCGTATTTTCCATTAAATCATTTTGATTAAGACCAGCTTTGTTCAGAGTATTTATCTTACTTCTTAATAATGACCATAAATGATCATCAGCCGTTTGTTTTGCCACTAAATATTGAATAATAACACTATCGTTTTGTCCAATTCTGTGTACCCTGTCTTCCGCTTGAAATAAAATCTAAATTTTTTAAATTCTTTATTAAAACATAAAAATAATAAATTATAAAGATAAAATTATATACCTATATATATATATATATATATATATAGATAGATAATATATGTATATATAATAGATGTAATACGTACTCCAGGATTCCAAAATAATTCTGCAAAAACTACCAATCGTGCAGCTGTTAATGTGATACCAGAATTTGCAGCAGTTATAGATAAAATAGCTGCCAAACAATTGCTATCGTTTTGAAAATTATTGACCGCATCTGTTCTTCTATTTGAATTTACACTTCCATCTATCCTTATAAATCTATTAAATAATTCGTAATGTATATAAATAAATGTAAAGAAATATAATTAAAATTTAATGTCACTGAAAATTACCCTATGTCCATTTCTTTTGCTACTTCACATATTGCATCTAGAACATGTTTATGGTGAGCAAAGATGAGACACTTTTGTTTATTCGAGAATATTCGAGTAACATAATCACTGTGAAAAAATATTATAATAAAAATATTTAAAAATAATGTGGTATTACACATGAAAAATATCAAACATAATATAATAAATAATGTTTTTACCGGATAGCTCTAAGTTTTAAAAAACTTGATTTATTATAATACTGAAGAAGTGCACTATGATCTTTTAAGTCATGCGGAATGGACTTGTCAAACTCTTTCTGTTTTTTTATATCTTGTTTTATCATGTCTGGATCCAGTATAATGACCTGCCTAAAAATCATTGATCTTTAAGTTTTTCCATAAATATAAGTATAAATATACATCTCTTATGCATACAAATCACCTTATTTTTGATGGTAATTGATTTAACACATCATCTTTTAATCGTCTAATCATACATGTTAACTTCAATAGTAATTGTAGTTCTTGCATATTAGATGATCCAGTAAAATCCCAGCCAAAGTTTTTTTTAATTCCTGCACAATATCGAATTCCATATTCTTGATATCTAAATGAAACATTATGTAAAAACTGTATATATAAATTATATTAATATTAAAAGTATTAATATCACTTATCTGATTTTATATTATTATTATTATTATATTACATCTGAATTTGATACTTACCCCATAAAATTAGGAATTACAAGGTTAATCTGAGTATATAATTCTATAGGACGAGACAAAGCTGGCGTTCCACTAAGTAAAACTACATGTTTTGAATTAGATGCAATTTTTTGTACAGCTTTAAATCTAAAAGTCTTATTGTTTTTTATAGTGTGTGATTCATCCTAGAAAATTATTTTTGCATTTCAATTAATATATCATAATATAACTTGCGATGCTGTATGTATTAAATATAATTAATCTACTACACACCAAAATGACAAATCCAAAACCAAGGCTTTTAAATAATTCTTCTGATCTTGCCAATAAATCATAGGATACTATAACAATTTTTACATCATTATTAAAATCTTTGACATTGGTAAATTGATGAATATAATGTGCAGGTATAGATGGTAAATAATTAAAAATAGCTTCGGACCACTGATATCTACAAAAGTTATAGATAAATACAAGTAATATTTACTTAGTAAAATTATTTTACAATCATTATACTGAATGTCTCAAAAGTCACTTAAATGAGATAATAAATTCTAAATTGTTTTGGCTTATACTTGATATAGGGGCATACTTTTTTAAGTATGAACCTATAACTATGAGATTCATATCTTCAAATGAAACACAGATAATTATAATTCTACTAATGAACCATTGATTTTTTGATTTTTTTCTCTTCAATAGACTTTTGAGACACCTTAAAATTTAATAATCTTACCTAACAGTGGATGGTGCTACAATTAACAAAGGCCAACTTTCTTGAAAAAAGGATGCTATTCCCAATGCTTGTATTGTTTTTCCTAATCCCATATCATCAGCAATTATACAACGACCTTTCTTTGAAATTCCATAACTAAAAAATAAAAAATATTTGTGATATCATAATACAAATGCGTTATAAATAACAATTGTAAACAAATATTATACAATATTTACCGAATGCCTTCTTCTTGAAAAGGCATTAACGTACTTCTTAATGTTTCATCTATTGATAACAAATTAATGGAAGGTGTTGTATCGGATGAAGAGTAATTTTGCTTGAAAAGCTAGAAATATAAATATAATTAATATCGCATATTTGATTTTTTTTTTTTTAAATAAGTATATTTATAATAAAATTAATACCCGTATAACAGATGCTGGTATTTGTATTATAGAAAGATTTGATTTTAATTCTATTAACTTTTTTATTAAATTTTCATAATCTGTCAGATGAAAACTCCATGTCTTTTTACTTGAATCTAAAATATAATTGCTTTTTATTATTATTTATAATTGTTAATTTATATAAATACTATATAATGTGTATACAAAGATTTCATACAACTTACCATATGATCTACTATTCATTGTCTTAAATACATCAATTACAGATGATAAATAAGATGACGTTTCCACCGCAAATTTGTCATTAGTAATCATATAACATTTCACTGTTATAACAGAGTTAGTACCAAAAAAATTTTTAGGTTCTTTAGGTGTTACAGGCGTCTTAGGTGCATATTTGTTAACTGAATTAAATGTCCGTATAGGCCCAATCTTAGAATTATTTGATTTTAATGCGACTGCAGAGTTAATAGCATTAGATGGAGTATATTGAGATTTACGTACAGGAAAAGCAACAGAACATTCAGAAGTGCGTTTTAATTGTTGAATTTTTTTTTTTCTTTCCAATGCTTCCAAATGTTTATTTTTTATTTCTTCCTTAGAATAATCTTTTACGTTTGCCATTTGTACAAAATTATCAGAAATATAATAATTATTTTTTTGTTTATTTAAATATTATATGATAAGTTGATGCTTAAATGTTAATAATTGTTTAAATAATTCTTTAATGTTTACTTTAACCAACTGTATAACTTAACCTTATAAAGATCTATCACTATGTTTATACATTTATTAAAACTTGTCTTTGTTTCTCGTATTTGTTTCAAAAAAATTGTATGATAGTTATATAGAAGCGAAACTTCAATACACTACCATGCAAGTTATGTTAAATAGGGCAAAACCTAGTAAGTATAATACTTTTCACCTCTACTCTAAAGAAATATATAATTCATGATCGCGCCAAAATTTGAATTAGTCGCGTAAACTGTTATAGCCAATCATTGACTTCTCTTTGCACATAGGGGTAATGGCGCTAACTTCGGATATCGATCTAAAAGCACTTGACTGCATTTACAGTAGTTTACGGGATACCCGTGTTCTGCTTATCACGTTTAATTTTTTTTAATATTGCACGTTTTATAATTTTTTATTCTTATTTTATATAAATTAAGTTATATTCTAAAACTGCCGTCACATTATAAGTTTTATATTCAATGTTCACAAAGTACCCCACCCATTTATACTCGTACGTGCCAAAAGCTTGTAAGATGCAAATACTTGCATTTATCGTGTTTAATATTTTCAGTGTTGTGAATGGTCAGTTTCTAAGTTTATTCAATTGAAAAAAGAATCTTATTATAAATTAATTTAAATATATTCATTTCGATAATGTAACATACTAAATATAATTGATAGAAACAGTAGAATATTAAGAAATTCATTTTTGTAACAGGTGCAGCAGCTTTGAAAACATATGAAGCAAATCCAGATACAAAACGACTTTATGATGATTTATTATCTAATTATAATAGACTTATTCGACCAGTCATTAATAACACTGAAACTCTGACAGTATGGCTGGGATTAAAACTATCACAACTAATCGAGATGGTATAATATCAAACCTACTATTCAAATTAAACAAGAGAGTAATAAAAAACGATGCATTTAAGGATAAATAAGTGTATTGATACTTTTTATTTATTTTAACATTTTACAGAACTTGAAGAATCAAGTTATGACAACTAATGTCTGGGTAGAGCAGGTAAGATATAATAGTATAAAGTAGAAGTAATAGTTTAATTATAATTTATTATTTAATATTCTCTACACGATTGATTATTATTTCTTTTCAATAGAAATGGTTTGACTACAAATTACAGTGGGATCCAGAAGAATATGGTGGCGTTGAAATGTTATATGTGCCTTCTGAAAATATATGGCTTCCAGACATTGTGTTATATAATAAGTAAATAATATCAAAGATATAATTCTTTATTTAATTAATCTAGAATTTTATGCTATGTTGTCATTTTTATTATTATATTTGTTTAAATATCATATTGATTTTTGTTTTTATAATAGAGAACAAAATATGGAACACAAGAAAATGATTTTTTAAACTGTTATTATTTGACAGTGCTGATGGAAATTATGAAGTAACACTTATGACAAAAGCTACACTAAAATATACAGGTGAAGTGTCTTGGAAACCACCAGCCATTTACAAGTCATCCTGTGAAATTAATGTTGAATATTTTCCCTTTGATGAACAATCCTGTATTATGAAATTTGGTTCATGGACTTATAATGGAGTTCAGGTCATAAAGTTTAATAAATGTTTCATTTATCTTGTTACATATATTAATATATTTTAGTAAATTTTTAATTTAATGTTATTTTCTGTGTGCGATCCTTACAAACAGGTTGATCTAAAGCATATGGCACAAGAATCTGGTAGCAATTTGGTAAAAATTGGTATAGATCTGACTGATTTTTATTTATCAGTTGAATGGGATATTCTTGAAGTTCCTGCAGCTCGTAATGAAGAATATTATCCTTGTTGTAGTGAACCATATTCTGGTAAACAAAACTTTCCACTACTTAATCTATTTTATTAAAGAAACAATTAATATTATCTAATATAAATAAATTGAAAAAATTATATTATTTTAACTTTCTATATAATAACGCAGATATTACTTTCAATATTACAATGAGAAGGAAAACTTTGTTTTATACTGTAAATCTTATAATCCCATGTGTGGGTATTACTTTTCTTACGGTATTGGTATTTTATCTTCCAAGTGATTCTGGTGAAAAAGTAAGTTTATAAAAAAGATATTAAGTATATATATAAATATAAATGATACTTATAAACTATAATGTTTTATATTTATTTGTCTAGGTCTCATTATGCTCCTCCATTCTTTTATCTTTGACTGTATTCTTTTTACTATTAGCTGAGATAATTCCACCAACATCATTAGCTATACCACTTCTTGGAAAATATTTATTATTTACAATGATATTAGTAACTTTATCTATTTGGATCACTGTGTGTGTTCTAAATGTCCATTTCAGGTAAGAAAAATAAATGATAATAAATAAAATAAGTTAAATATATAATTACACATATAAATGAATAAATTATTTAAGATCTCCTTCAACACACAATATGTCACCTTGGGTAAGACAAGTATTTTTAAATTGGATGCCAAGAATTTTAATGATGCGTAGAACACCATATTCTACACCTGAATATGATGATACATATATCGATAATGGATACACTAATGAAATTGATTCTAGGTATGTTTATATTAGTAAATTATATTATTTTTATAAAAAAAAAATGTATATTTAATATAATATCTTTATAATGGTAAAATACAATTTAATTTTGCAACAGCGTAAGTGATTATCCTTTAGAACTGAAAGGTACAGACGGATTTGAAAATGTTACATCTACATATAAAAATATAAGAGAGGATGATGCTCGACATATACCTCACGCATCCGGTACACTTTTAACTTAATTTTATATCAAAGATTATTCTATTATTTAATCTCAGTTTATTTATCTTATAAGAAAATTATCATCTATTTAATAATAATTAATATTGAAATATTATTCTAGTTACTGACAGTGAAAATACAATGCCCAGACATTTGTCTCCAGATGTAATATCAGCATTAAAAGGAGTTCGTTTTATTGCACAACATATAAAAGATGCAGATAAAGATAATGAAGTACAGTTATATAATAATATTTGTTTTTCTTTTTATATACTAAATAATATAAATGTGCTACATTTACATATGTATATTTATAGGTAATAGAAGACTGGAAATTTGTAGCTATGGTTTTAGATAGATTCTTTTTATGGATATTTACATTTGCATGTATTGGAGGTACACTGGGCATTATATTTCAAGCTCCCAGCTTATATGATACAAGAGAACCTGTGGACCAACGACTTTCTGGAATATCATTACGTAATTATATGTATCCGCCCAAGGAAGATAGTTTATTACCAGATGAGTAAATTCTGAGACAACTTCATTATTAACATAAGATTCTATACGAAGACGTATTAACTGCGTAATCAATCTTTATTCTAAAAGTAAACATCAATTTATAAATATTTTAAATTGATTAATTTAAGTACTTATGATTAAACCAAATCAATTCATAAAAAGGTTTGCAATACTAAAATATACACAATTGTAAATCTTTATTAGTAATTAATAGTTGAAAAAGTGATACAAAGCGAATGCGCATATACATATATACATATATACATATACATATATATATGTATGTATATATATATGTTTGTGCGATAACATACGTAAATAATGAGAAAACAAATTTGCGTATATATATTATATACACTTCTTTGCTTTTGATGTAAATAAATAGTTTACATTATCCATATTATTGTAATAAGATTTGAGATCATCCCATTTAAGGAAGTCTTCGCTTATAGAAAGGTAACTTTATTTTTCACATAATATATTGTTTGTGATTTTTTACTTTTAAGTATATCGAATACAGAAATAATAATGGTAAAGTTATCTGTGACAATGAGGTTCTATAAAATAAAATATATATCGGATAATAAAATAAAGGAATGCTTAAATAAATGATAAAATTAAATGAATAATCTTCTATTTAGAATTATGTCAAAAATAATATTATTAAATGTTTTCTTTTTTGCACATTGTGTATGAAATTTATAATGATCAAATCGCAGATCAAATAATTCCTTCTTAAATTTTAATATCATTATTTTTTCTATAAAGACAATTATTCTAAATCGATTACCATGAAATTTAATGGTCCACTTGTACTGCTGATAGAACTTGTTTGTGATTTCTTTTGAGGACTTGAACTAATATGATGCTTTTTTGTACTTTGCGTTGGTACAGAATCTTCGTCATCTTCTTCACTATCTGATATTAAATCAATGAGAACTGTACGTTTCTTTTCCTTTACTATCGGTAACGTCGGACCGCTTTCATCTAAATAAAAAAGAAATATGTATATATATTATAAAAATAATAATTAAAATAAAATATACATATAGAATGATTTTAGGAGCGGGACTGTTCTTTTTTTAAGTAAAAATAAAAAAATTTCATCGAAATATCAATTTAACATTTTATATGTAATTTATCATGTAATTTATCATCATATCTTACCAATATCAACTGTGTCGACATCAATCTTGTGATCTTGCACATTAGCTGCTACTTTTGTTTCCGGTTTTTCTCTATCTTTTTCTTTTTTTAACACTAAGTTCTCCCAAGAACCATCTTGAAGCAATTGTATCTCATTGACATCTGGTAATAATTTCTTGGAGTTTAAAACTTCTTGAAAATATCCATCAATAACAAGGTTATCATATAACGCTGGCTTATCACATACTGGACAATTCCATGTAGGCTTTCTTTCATTCATTTGTAAAAATAATGAAGCATCAAAACATTGTAAATGGGAGCATGTTAATGCTCGACATGGTGTATTCATCCTCATTTTTCCCAAAGGACATGCTAATGATACTCTGAGTGATGTTGTAGCTATTTCACTATCAGCATCTTCATTTAATTTTTCTTTTACTAAAAATTAGAAAAAATATTAATATTAAAATACATAATTAAAAAAAAATAACACGCAAAATGTTTCAATGAGAAAAGATTAAATATTTTATTTTTAATTCATAAAATAGGTTTACTTACTTAATCCTCTAGTATAATCAGAGTGCCTAACACCTTTGTTCTTTAATCTTAATAATAACTCTGAACTCGAAAGCTTTCTTACAAGATATACAGCAATTGCATATCGTCTACCAAAATCAGATGACCAAGAAACATTAATCTGATTTCCCACTGTAGGCGATAATTTAACCAAAGGACTGATATTTACAGGCCTTGGTGGTCGTTTTGGTTCGACACCAGGTTTATTAGTAGGTATAGGATTCTAAATAAATATAATGAACTATTAAATTTAATAGTTATCATATGATTTTAAAGATCTTTGTACAGTAATCCGTACATTTACATGGATTCATTTTAATGCTTCTATTTACGTGCTGTTTTTGTTCATATAAATAGAGAGATTATTGGAATTTACTAATAAAGACCTATGTCATTTTAAGAAATTATATTTTTTTATAAAAATATATATATATTTATTTATTTGGGCTTTACTTACAGGTAACTGACAGATTTTTCCATTAACTTTTACAGATATATTTGGTGGAAAATAATCTTCTTGTTCACATGATGTTTCTTGCAAGCAAAACCTCATCTGTACCTACATTTTATATATCCAAATAAAATTTAAAAAAATTAAATAGTATTCATGAATTTATATATATTTCTAGAATAAGTAATTTACCTGTACCATGTAATCCATTTTGCTTCCATTACGACAATCTCGAGAACTAGCTATGTCAGTCGACTGTTGAGGTGTTAAATGAAACATAAATGAATTTTCTTGTAATCTTACTGATCCTTGTGGCATTAAACTTGATGGCTTTAATAATTCGGCCATTAAATCGAAAAAAGGTAATCTTTTAAATTTTACATCTGGATGAACAGGGTACTGTCCTGAAGGTATTTGTAATGGAACTGGCAATACTTTAGGTGTATATGGGGGATACGGATTGTATGGTGTATTTGTTCTCTAAAATAATAAATTCAAATTAGTTTATATGGATTATAATAAACCATATGGAATATGTATAACAATATTATACTTGTGGTGCTACACTTGTATACCCAGGAGACTGATATACTGCAGTAGTTCTTGGATTTTGAGGTAATGAAGCTTGATGGGCAGGTGGAAGTTCTTTTTCAGAAGCAACTGCACTTTGTGCTTGTTGCTGTTGACCAATAGCTTGTCTACAGACATTTTATATAAACAAATTATATTGTTAATATTGAAAATATTTTACCAAAGAGAACAATTAATACCTTGTATAATAGTAATAATTAATTACCTTGTATAATAGCTTCTAGAATGCATACTTTGATCGATTTGAGTATCTCCAGTTGTATCCGTTTGAACATACATTTGATGTGCTGCTAATTGATCAGCTCTATATAAAATAATATTATTATATTTTTAAAAATATATTTACACACATATATGTAAATATTCAAATATCTCAGAAAAGGTCGAACTTTCAATCTATGTTTATTAATTGTAAAACTTCTTTTAAGCAGTATATGTTCTATATTCTATATATATATATATAATAATTATCAATTATTTGTACACCTTAAATATATATGAACGCATGTACACTATTTGTTATATTTGAATGATTTATTTTAAAGAAATAATGATTAATTTAATGTCAATAAATTTCAGACATCTCACATCCTGAATTTAATGAACCACGAAATTAATTAAAAAGAATAAAGCTGAGCATACACAATACATTTTAATATTTGGGTTATGTGCTAGTAGTATTTTTAATTTTTCAATTGAAAAGATTCTTTTTATGTATTTTCATAAAACGAAAAAATGATGATAAATTCAAATATTAATAATAATAATAATAATAATAACAATAATAATAATAAGTTACCAAAACAATATAAACTCAATATTAATATCGAGAAACATTTTATTTACTTACTGTATTGTCTTGTATAATTCTCGTATTTTAAGCTGGACTGGATGTGATCTGAGACGCAATAATTCTAACGCTCTTGCTTGTAATTCGTTTTTTCTGCCAGATTTATTTCTACCAGCAAAACCCAAAAGCATCTGAAGCTCAGATACTCGGAAACTTAATATCATATTCTGTAATGAAAATCAAATCATGTACATGCGTTTACATTTTCAAACTTCCATGCCAAATAGAAAAGAACATGCTTGATATATTATACAATTGAATAGAATATATATAATATCTAGAAATTTTAAAATAAATAATATGATTACGTTTATTGAAAAAAAAAAAAAAAGTAAATGCTGGACAAAAAAGTTAATAATTTATATTATTATAAAACTTCGACAAATATAAAAGCAACAAATATGTATATCAAAAGATTATTATAATTATTAACAATATTATATCATACTTTTAAAATATTAAATTAATTTTTATAAATATATTTTTAGGGATTCAAAATTCTTATCTTTACTATTATTTGTACCATCTTTAATATCTCATATATTATATACTTGTAATTTTATAAAATATGTAATATAAATTTACTATGTATCAAATGGCTAAGGACATTGTATGTATGTATGTATGTGTATGTGTGTGTATATGTAAAGATATATACACATATATATACTTCCATATGTATATACATACGTATATTTTCTATATATATATATGTATATATTTGCATATGTACATACATACGTATTAAAATAAAATACCATAAAATAATAAACACACGATTAGTAAGGTCTATGGTAAATTTAAATATAGATTAAAATAAAAGGACACACAATCTGAGAAGCGACATTTTTGGGTTAGCCATTGGTAATGAACAAAAATATATTCAATAATTAGCTTTTACTAATTAAAATTGATTACCTTCCATTATTAACGTTTGATTGTAATATTTTTGCACAGCAATAATATTTTTACAAATGAAACACGTGACTAAACAGCAGTTTTTTCTACCCAACAATATTTTGTGTCAGTATACAAAATATACAATCAAGTAATAATTAAAACTACAAGAGGGCAACATGTGTAGTCCAATGATGCTAATCACAGATTCGTATTTCAGTGGATTATTATCCCTCAAATTACCGCTGATAAATCATCTATATATTATTTACTAAGTTGTCACAACAATATTTTACGTACCTCTAACTCCTCTGTTTCCGCCATCTTCTTATAGGATTTTTTTTGAGAAGCCGTCTTATCTAGATTTTGGTCAACTTTCTATAGAAAATATCTTTCTCTATTTTGTATTAGTTTAAAATAATGCAAATCACATAATTATTATATTTGATATTATTTTGAATATTAAAAAAAATTTGCACTCTGGTAAATGGAAATAAATTAATTTTTTGTTTTATTTAAAAATCACTCCATAGCTTATTTCAAATGTAAAATAATACGAGGTTTTCTAACACTGTTGCTAAAAGTTGACAAATTAATTAGATTATTAACATTCTACATTTTGTTTAAAATTGGAAAAATGTTTCCTACACTTAATCGCGCACACCTCGTACGCCCAACTTGAATTTGTATTATATGAAAACCTAAAGGGACATAACTTTATCATCTACATTCGATACAATAGTAGAAACCAGTAGGGACGAAACAATAATAAATATACTTTTAACAGTAAACTGTTATATTATTCAGTAAAAAATTACTAGATTTTTGTATGATAAATTTATTTAAAATAAACAAATATAATAAATAAATATTAATTATGTACTTCACTTTTCAATTAATAAACATTTAAAAATGATATTATTGATCAATATTTATAACCTATATAAAAAAAAAAACATTGAATAAAAATATTGAATCAGTTTTTAAATATATTTATAAATAATTTCAATTAATTGCTAATAAATTTTAATTGGCCAATAACTCGTCTGCAATGTAGCTAACAAAAATTAACTTGTTAAATATGTAAAACACTTTAAGAAATTAACAACAATAAGATTGTGTACGAATTAATTGATCACTTTTAATAATAATTACTGTAAAAGATTTGTAATTTAAGTATTAATGGTATATCACAAACATAGGTTAAGAACGACATAACGTTATAAAGTCTGCTGTTGGCTATACTGCTGATTAAAGTTACATAATCAAAATTAATCGAAATATGTCCAAAAGTTTATATTTCTATTTATTTTTTGAGTTATTATGTTTATAATAAAAGTTATAAAAATATAAAAATAATTATTTAGTTGATCAATAAGTCCATACAGTTTTTGCAGTTTATTTACTTACAAAAATCCCTACGGATTTATTGGTCAACCCTTATATTTTAAAATTTAAATTATTTCAGTTTAAAAAAAAAATCAAAATTTAATTGGTTATAACTTTTACCTCTTTTCATTTTCAAAAGTATTTATAGTTGTCTGAAAATTTATTTGCAGTTTGGGAAGACGCCATTAGCCTATCCTCGCTTATAATGTTTTCGAAATCCACAGAGTAAGTTTTTTTATGACACAGTGTATGATTCAAAATGTACCTATGGATTAGAAAAGTGAAATTTTCTGTCAATGAGAAAAATACTGTAAAATGAGTAATTTAGTTATTGACACCGAATTACAGACAAATTTTTAAGCAACAGTAAATATAATTATAAACGTATTAAAATAATATTAATGCTTTGATTATTTTGTTATAATAGTAATTGAGTAAAATAAAATATTAACAATTTTTTCAATCATTTGAGTGAATTTTGAACAAAACATGCATTATAATAAATATTTGAGAAAAAATGTATAAAAGTAGCACTGCTTACACTATAAACTTATTTTACTGCGCAGTTCTCCATCTTAAGTTTTTTGTACTTCTAAGAAATGTATTTTGTTGATAAATAATTATGTGATATTTTCTTGCATTCTCATTGGAATAATTTATATTTATGTGTATTTTATTATATTGTTATTAACATTTTTATATTTATTATAATTCTTTACTATTATGCATTATAATAGTAAAATGTACAAATTTATTATTATATAATATTATATACAATTGTATCGTGTAAATAAAAATAATTAAAATTTATTTTCTTTTTATGCATTTAATTTAAGATATATATTTTAAAATATATATTAAAAGAAAGATTTTAAAAATAATCTATCAGAATGTTGAATATAATATGCATATATTGAATATTAACAAATACTTCACTAATAACTGTAATTTAATAACATTCATATATATGTATATATATTTATGAAATATTAATTTAATTATATAAATTGAAGCTAACAATACTGTTTTTATAACTGTATATAATAATATAAAAAAAAAAAATAGGATATTAAAAATTCAAATGATTGAAATAAAGAGTCAACATTTCTTTAACATTCTCATATTCTCATATTTATTCATGAAACCATCTTTCAATAAATGTTAAGTCTAAATTTTCCTATAAACAAATTGATGCATGTAATTACTATAAAAGTTTCTAATGGAAATGTGTTTGTTTTATGTATGTTGATATTTTAAAATCTTAAACCTAGGCCAGTCTTGCTTAGTGAACATTATTTTGCAAAGTATATGTAAGATCAATTTTCAACATATATATGTATGTATATATATATATATATATATATATTAATGGAATGATTGAAAAAATAAATTGATATATAATAATTGTACAAATTAAAGAATGAATTAATGGATATAAATCAACATGAAACATTATATTGATTTATAATTATATTCATTTTTCATTTCAAATAAAAGTATACTATATCAGATATATCTTTTACAGATAATCATTCAATATATATATATATATATTTCTCAGTTTATAATTTGGAGAAACACAGTATTTTGCTATATATATATATATAGCTATAATTTTAATATTTTATAGTAATTTGTACCATTTGAAATATATAAATCTATTAACAGAATTGTATTGGTGTGTTTTTGATCTGGCACGATAGCAAACAATGCTTGTGCGAATACAACTTACATTCTATATAATTAATTTCTTTTTTGATTTACTAACTAATTAAAAAATATGCTATGACTGGCAGATTTTCATGTATTCATAGAGAATATTATATAAAAAGAAATGAACGGAGAATAATGTAATAATATGTATATCAATAGGTTTATCAGAAAATGCTACATTATATTATTTGAATGTTTTTATATTAGACATGCATCCTGCTTTTCACAACAATCTCATATATGTAACAGAACAAGAGAAAATTTAGATACCTTCATATGGTTTATTTATTTAATTATTTATTTATATAATAGTCGAATTCTTTTTTTTATAAATTTGTTTGTTCAAATAAATAAATTAACAATTAACGTTTGTCATGATTAGTAAAATATTGCTTATATGCAGCCAAATTTGCTGTTTCTTATTAGATTATTATCACATAAGTTACAATATGAAATTGTTTCTTAATGATCCCTATCACCATTTTGTACATCAATAGTACTTTTCTATGCATTTAGAATAAAAGAATTTTATATAGTGCCTTTTCTGTAATTTTATGAAAATTGATAAAAGAATTCCATCAATACAACAGCTATGTAAATGTTCACTTTTTGAAAATGGTGTTGCTCTATGATCTTATATTCTGGTGTCTTTGTTATTATATACACCTGAAATTCATACATGTTTTTAAAGTGTCGTGTGATATATTATCTACTTAAAATAAAACAATAATATGCTCCTAAGAAAATCCTCTACTTCTGTTAATTTTTGTGTAATGAGACTGATAGCTTGATAACTATTAATTTGCATTTTTTAACTTTAATAACATAAAAGGTGTTATGCATATTTCAATATGCATTGCTTATTATAAAATGTATTGTGTGTTTTAGTTCTATTGCTTTCATAATATCTATAGATACCAAAAAAATGATTAATAAATAAATTTATATTCTAACAAAAATAGAATTCATCTAAAGAAAGATAAATGTTTGATTAATTTACTAATCTATTAATAAATGAAAACTTTATATAATTCAATGAAATCGTGCATGTTTTTATCATTGTTTAAATGTATCTTCTGTTATCCATAATAAAAACTTGAGTATCTTTTACAGAATGAAATTAATGCACATCAATAATTTAGCGCTTATCTCTAAAACTGGAATCTATGTTTTATTACATGCTGAGATACAAATAAATTTTATATGAAAACTTATCAAATAATATAACATTTAATCAATTAAGAAAAAAGGCAGTAATTTATTATAAATAATATAAATTTTAATATTTAAATAAAAAATATTTTCTTCACTTAATATCATAAATTAATTAAATTGAAAAATCAGTATTAGGCATTGTGTTAAAAGCTGATACTTTAAATTTAACATAAAAATAAAAAATGATGAAACTATACACATAACGTATAACTGAAAATTATACAAAAAATAAAATATAAAGATAATTATATATATATATATATATATATATATTATTTATGATGATATAGTTGCATGTTGTGAATAAATTTCAAGTAAACATCCAATGTTTAAGCATTTTTATCACAAAATGATGAGTGATATAACTATGACAAAAAATCAATTTAACAACCTGACATTTACATAAATTGATCAATCAGTCTCATAGATACAAAAAAAAAAAAAAAGAACATAAAAATATACATTTACTTTGGTAGTTTCTTAAAATAACTACTAAAAAGCAAAATATCCATTAAATATTACTTCAAATAATCAAATTTGTTATAGTATGCACAGATTATTGACATTATCCAGTATATATACATTTGTTGCTATTATAAAGGACTGGCATGACAGCAACACTGAAGTAATGAAAATACAAGAAGCAATACTGGATTATATTGCAGAAATAAGATAATCAAATATAAGTCTTCGTATAAGAAATACATTGATACCAATTAATTAGAAATACAAAACAATATTTTAATGATTTTGCATTTTTTTTTCTTCCAAAATAGTTCAATTTTAAATTTTAGAAATATTTTTCCCAAAAAATCTCAATAATCTTTCAGAGTAAATTCATATATAATAATGTTATATATATATTATTAATTAAATTAGAATAAGTAATAAAATAATGTTTTCAATCAGGAACCGATTCTCAATTAATCTATTATGTAATTACAAATCTTGCTACATCATATGTTAATGTTGGTATTATTGAGGCATCTTTAATTTTCTATAAGTGGACTCATTATTATAACAATATGATACTCTCTGGTATCATAAAAAATGATTTTTCGATGCAAATAGACGTATAGATTGATTCTATACTTATATTTTAGATATCAGTTTCGGTCCCTGATATAAATTATGATTGAAAATATTTATACAAAATATTTTTTTAAGAGATAGACTTCATCGGCAGAAAGGCAAAATCTCTTTGTAAAATGCAAATGTTTTTTTTTCATATAATGCTCATTGAACGACGGTACCGTTTTCTAGAATTAGTTATAACAATAGGAACCGATATTGGAGCAGGGGGAGTTACAGGTGTAACAGGAGTTACCGGCGTAAGAGGAGTCACTGGCGTTTCAGCCGTTTGGGCTGAAGAGGGTAGCCTGAGCTACCAAATATAGTTTTCAGTTTGTGGAGCTCGCATAACTCCCACACCTCCACCAAGTCGTCTATAATTCATACAACCACATAGTTTCCACTGATTTTGTTCTGGATCGTATACTTCAATCGTTTTTAAATATGCTGTTCCATCAAATCCACCTACTGCATACAATTGACCATTCACTACTGCTAAGCCAACCTATTTCAAAACACGTGAGTAAATAAAATTAATTAAAACAATAAAGAGTAAAGGTATCTTAAAGCATTAAGATAAAATACACTTAAAAATAAATGTATAAATATACATACTCCACTTCTTCTCGAAGTCATGGCTACTATAGGGCTCCATGAATTTGTATGAGGATTGTATCTTTCTGCGCTAGATAACTCCATACAATCATCGCGTCCTCCCACAGCATAAATTAAATTATTAAATACTGCACAGCCTAAATGTTTACGTCTAGTTGACATTGGAGATACTTGAGACCATTTATTGTGTCTAGGATCATATCTTTCTACAGTATTTAAAGGCGATTGTCCATCGGACCCGCCGATAGCATATAAATAACCACCAAGCACAGCAACAGCTACTCCTAATCTTCTTGTAGTCATTGGCGATACTTTTGACCATTTGTTTTCTTTAGGATCGTACCTAAAATAATTTGTTAATTTAAATAAATCATCCAATGAGAATTATAAATAATAAATAATAACAGTATATTTGCACTGTATGTGTGTGATATTGTAAATAAAATACAAAAGTAATCTACCTTTCAACGTGATTAAGACATTGTACTCCATCTTGACCACCTACTGCATAAAGATAACCATCCAAAACTGCAACACCTACACTCGTTCTACAAGATGTTGTAGGTGCAACATCACACGACCATTGATTTGTTTGGGGATCATACCTCTCTATACTATTTAAATAACTTTGTCCATCATGTCCGCCAACAGCATATAGTAATTCATTTAAAACCGCTACTCCAACACCACATCTTCGTTTACTCATTGGTGCAACCATTTTCCAATCTCCAGTATTTGGGTCAAATCTTTCTACACTTGCAATAGCGTCACCAGAACACCAACCACCAACAGCAAATAATACCTCGCCTCTTCTCGTAGGTTTTCTAGGACGTGTTCTGGGTCCTTGCATTAATGGTCTTTCTTGTGGTAATAATAAGTAATTTTTTGCTTCGTCAACTAAATCTCTACATGCATCATCCGAACGAACTAATAAATCTGATCCTACAGTGCCTACTAAAAATTTTGGACTTAAAAGTGGCAGTCGCACGTGTTGTAAAACTTGTGCTAAGTGTTGTCTTCTTTCTGTTACATTATATTTAACCCAATTCATTACAGCACTGAAAACTTGTTCTTCCGTTCGTACATTTAATTCATCCGATGATATAATATCTACTAATTGTCCAACTGGTAATAACAGAAATTCTTCACTTTCCATTACCTACACAAGAGAATAAGAAAAATATTATAGTATTGAAATATTTAATCAAATTGAAGATTAATAGTTGAAGAAATATTTATTAATTTGTTAAACTTAGTTACAAATTACCTCTTGAAAATTATGTTGAGTAAATTTATCAGCAATACGTAAAAGTTCTCGGCATGAATGAGTATCTGCGAAAGCTCTTATACCCAAACAATTCGACGGATCCAATTGTCGTTTTAAAAATTCACAGCATATATCTTGAATTTCTGCTAGCTGAAGAAGGCACGCTGCTGGAAGGAGAGTTTGGACATTTGCTTCCTCGACAATGATGTGCGAAGTGTAGCAAAATTCAATGAGTAATTCCATTGCCAATTCATCTATGTCACGTATTGTAACTTCAGTTTGACGAGATTCTGCTAACTCTCCAGTAAACATAGCTCTGTAATACAAATACAAACAAATTTAACATATGTGTTGTATATTTTGTATTATTTGCATTCAATATTTGGAATAAGAAGGAAAATTACCTGAAATAAGGACTGCAAGCAGAAAGAATGACTCTATGTGCAAATATCTTCCTAGAACCAATGTTAAGAACAACGTCACATAATTCTCTATGACGACGAAGAACATTGAGTTCAGTAAGCATAGCACGAGGATGCTTTTCCGATGTATGACTTAAACGTGCTGGAGAGGTAGCACGTTCTACAACCATGTCACCCATCCTTTGTGAGGATGGGACACTTGCCCCTGGTCTCCCTGACGCACCCCTGGTCCCTCCAGCTAGCTGGAGGCGCAGTGGGGGTGACGCCCAGCCCCACACCGAGTCTATCTGCAACACCATTCACCGACCACCACAAGTATCGAAAGTACCTGCAGCAGCTCTTCTTCTACTGTGTACTACCTTTCCCTAAAAGTAGATATTATATTAGAAAACAAGAACTACTATACCTAATCCTATTTTATCACATTTTATTTATTTGATATTCAATAACTAGTTTGGTATAAGACATATAATTAAGAAATAAATAATAATAAGCATAAAATAATTTTGAAATTAATAGAGTAAATTAAGATAATATTGAAAAAATATATTATACACTTACTTAATACATTTATGAGATTTTGTATAAAAACATTTATGAGAAGTTTGTATAAAAAAATAGTTGTAAGTAAAACATCTACAACTTAAGGGTTTGAAAGTTATTCAGTTGTACAAATCTGTGAAATTTTAAAGAAATACAAAATCATTTTTATAGATAAGAAACAACAAGTAATAAATTTATCATTAGACGTTAACTTTAATTATCTGCATCAATTAAAAAGCAAATTGGTACATCATCTCTTTGAGTTTAATTGTATTGTTTTGTATACAATAAAAAATAATTAGAAAAATTAAAGAGTATAGCAAACAAACAAATGTGTTTGAAAAAATGAAAATTTGTAATATAAAAATGACATGTCAAGAGAGTGTGTATTTACTTTCAGTTCGTTCTCAAGCCCAGTGGCATTAAAGAGCTCTTCAGTTTATAGTCTTCGTTTATACTATTGAAGAAAACAAATTCGCCATGTAACACAATTTGTTTTTAATATAACGTTACGATAATATCATAAAGAAAATGTTATAAATTAATCTACTGCGAGTACCGCGATATTCGACGCGGGTAAACTTTCATTTTAACAAATATCACACGAATTGTGGATACCATTCGTATACACCATGATCGTCATGGACTGATCAAACATATATATATATTCAGTCTTATCCAGCTGTATAGATCATTGTACACATGACAAGATTATTACTAGATTATTATTACCGCATAACATCTAGGGAATTTTTTTATTTAGCTAATAGAAAACAATTTTATTACTTTGTTGTTAATATTTCAATAATAATAACAATTAATACAAAGACATTTTAAATGAACAATATATATTTACAAATAATTATAATATATTATAACTTATTATTGTGTACATAAATAATATTTGAAGCATTGAAATTATTTGACAGTTATATGTTTATATGTACGAAGCATAATATTGGTTTTATTAAAGGTACAATATGGCCGACAATAACAAAATTGTGTCAAATGAACCTGCTATAACACAACTTTCTCATCATGTACAAGAAAAATTATGTCGAACACGACCACCTTATAGACAAGGGAAAAAGTTGACTGCTGTTAAGGTAGCTTCGTAAATATGTATCCTTTTACAATATCATTTTTGTATATTGTGATTTTTTAGGTTATGTTAACTATGTATATTTTGTGTGAAAACAATTATATTTATATTTATAAAAATTATGTTTTATGAATTTTTTTCAAAAATGGATCACTTTCATTATAAACGGTCCATATATATATATTTACATTATAATAACTCTTTTCATTTTACATATATTTTCTCTAACACATCACCTCCACCCAACAGATATATACAATTAATGATGAATCTCAACATTTGATGATTTGTGATGTACCACAATTGCAGTTAAGACAAGAAATAAAAAAGCTTATCTGTCCTTATGGAGCTGTAAAAAAAGTTCATGTAGTTTCTAATTATCCTACAGAAGAATTTACAGAAGCATATCATATACATTACCAAGATATACGAAGTGCAAGGTTTATATTTAGAAAATCTAATTATAATTAATTGAAATAATTTCATTTTTATTTATGTATAGCATACATAACAGAATTTTCAACATCATTTACAATATACTGTACAGAATAGCAAAGCACTTCCTTGATGGCAAGAATTTTTACGGTGGTATTCTACATGTTTTTTATGCTCCTGAATTGGAATCTATATCAGAGACAAGAGCAAAGCTTATGCAACGTTATAAAGATGTGTCCGTACGATTAAAACGTAATAAACAAGATTTTACATATAATAGGTATGCGTGAAAAAATTATCAATATCAATTTATTTATCATAAATCAATGTTTTATAAAAATCTTTTTATTTATAATGTTAGGGAATTATCACAAAGACAACAAACAGTAACTTCACTGCCTTTTCCTATGAATGAATTTAAACAAACTAATTATCAAGCTAATTATCAAGCTAATTACAATGAACCTTTTTATTATAATGATCAGCAATTAAACTATGAATCTAATGCAGTAACAGAAAGGAGAAATATATATAATACTGAAGCATCAACTTCAACAACTGTACAACCAGTTCAATCTGAAATAGTAGATACTGGAAATATAAATGGTGCAGAAATAAAAAATTATGATAAACCTAGAAAAATAAAAAATTACAAAGGACGATCTATTAGAGATAATTTCAAGGTTAAAGTAATTAGGCCATCAATTATAGATACTAGCACTATTTTAAAATCCAATGTTAAAGATAAAAATGTATCTAATAACACAGATAAGACAGACAAAAATACTATTGTTATTAAAAAAGTACCGGATAATGATGGAATTAAAAAAAGAATTATTTTAAAAAATTCAAGGTAGTGTATTTTTTGAGCATAATTTTTACATTTATACAAATACAGATAGAAATTTATCTATAAAAATTTATATTGTTTAAAATATATATTAGTAATATTAATAAATATTAATTTTTCAGTATTAAACAGTTAATAAAGCCGAGTCAAGATCTTCAAAATTCAATACAAACAGTTAAATTTCAAATACGATCGGCTTTACAAAAGCATAGTGATAAGAATCACTTGTCCTAATTTAAAAAAAAACAATAATATAATAAATAAATATATTGTTAATAATAAAAAATGTTTGACAATATCATTAATCAAAATTGATTACAGTTTATTTTATATTTATAAATAATTATTTAAATAATAACTGTTGAATTAATATCCCATTTAATTCCATTATATTTTGACTTATCATAAGATTTTTTATGAGGTGGTGTATTTTCACATTGTATCAAATTATTGCAATTTTTCTTTTGTAATACATTTTGAGGGGAATTAGTCAATACTGTATCTAATTGAGCATTATTACACCTGTTTCCAAGAGGTGTTCGTTTCTAAAAACAACAAAAGAACAAGAATAAAAATTAAATGAATATTATTATCATAAGAAGTATTATTTATATTTGCACATAATATATAAATTGTATATGAATACCTTTGAAATTTTATTTATATTTTTATTATATAATATAGGAGTTTTTTTACTTGTTTTTACTTTTTTTTTATCACCCGATGTATCTTGTACATCTTTAATTTCATCTTCAGTTGTAATTGTAAGTTGTTCAGATATTGATTTATTTCTTTTTATTATATTATCATCATCATCAAATATAACTTCAATTTCTTCTTTAGATGGACATGAAAATTTTTCTTCATCATTTTCTTTATCATTATTTTCATTAATCTCAAACTGCTCTAAATTTTCAGATAACTCTGAATCTTTCCATATTTTAATCCTGTTTATACTTGTAAGATCTCTATTTTGTGAGTTTTTCGTATTATAAGTAATATGATTATTGACATTTTCGTTATTCATATGATTAACATTATCACTTACACGTAATTTTGTTTCACTATCAGAATGATTAAATTGCAAAGATTTAATAGCTTCGCATGTTTCATCCACTACTGCTAATATTTCAGGTGTATCAGACGATGTTGTTTCGCAAAACAAATATCTTGGATGATTATTTGTTTTACTACACAAGCCTTCTTCATTTTCTTCAGATTCTGTTTGTAAATATTTCTTTGTTATTTCTATATTAATTGGTGTTCTATTAAAATCTGTAGATGGAGATCTTGGATCATAGTTGAAACTTTCAATATGTTTCAAGTTAGCTAATGGTAATGTTTCTGTATTATTTTTAATCCCAAGAGTTGGTGTTTTGCAAGATAATAAGTTATCAACCTAAGTAATAATAAATTTAATATAACTTGTTATATATGATTCATTCAGATCAATAAATGTTTAAAATATATTATAATGATAGTAGAGTTAAAATGTACATAACTTACCGAAATTGGTGTTCTGGGCTGATTAACAATTGGTGATCTTGGATCAAGATAGTTATTTAATGTCGAAGGTGACATCGTTGAATCAAAATTAGTTTCTAAATACGGTTTCTTCATATTTTTTGTTAATACATCAACTATCATTCTTGTATTATTAGGTGATGTAGGATTAATCTATTAATTTTTATTTTATTATTTTTCTTATCATTTATAACAAACACAAAGAAAAGTATTTATACAAAAATAAAACATTAATAATTGGTGACAGCAAATATTGAATAATTCATTTCTCTATAGTATATTTTTAAATAAATTCAATTATATATAAATTATAAAAATATATTGTATGAATTTGATAAAATCTTACCTTTATTGGCGTTCTATATATTTCAGTAGTAATTGATCTGGGATCTGTCAACAATTGTTGATTTGTACTTGAATAATCACACTCTTTATCTAAATTTGATTGTTCCGCAGTTTCAGCTATTTCTACATTATGTTTTTCTTCACTATCATGTGACAAAATTCTGCTAATATAATTACCCATAATTAATTTATTTTAGTAATTCTTTAATTAAAGTATATTCAACGAATTACAAATATTCAAGTCTTTTAACGGTTTCTTTCGTATCCCTATACCAACAGTTAATTTGCCCGGTGTTTTACTACACTGAACAGTAATGTGTATAGAAGAAGAAAAACCCGACGCGTACATATGAATGTACTAATATCATTGGTTAAACACGAAATAAACATTCAAAATTGATTGGTCAAGATTCAAATGTAATACCAATATACAAAATCTAAAATTTTGTAAAAAGACATTTCTTAATATTTAATTTTATGTTTATTGCTTATGTATCTCCACTAATAATCTATGCAGTGTAATATAGAAACATTGGTTCATGGTATGTCAAATTTATCATAAATTTTTTAAAATTAATGCGTTGGATCTGTCTTTCATTGTATTAGCATCTAAGGAAATATTTAACATAAGTTAATTATTAAGGAGCCAAGGGGCATTTCGTTGGTCTTAATTTAAGAATAATAATTGCAAATTAATTATAAATAATGAATAAATCTAAATGTTCATTTCTGTAAATTTACTTATATTTCTCATTAAAATTTTTTAGATTATATTGGAATAATTGTCCGGATATACTTATTACAAAATTCTAAAACTTTAACAAATCATCTTACATTAATAACTTGTAATTTATTATTTGATTCTCTTACAATATTCTTCTAAATATAAGTAGTTTGATTATAATGAACAAATATGGATAGCTAGTTCCCATATTACAATATTTATACGTTTTTATAATCCTAGATTCGGGAAGAGTGTGGTACCCCTTTTGGGTCCCTAATGTTACGGTATTGAGCACTTCATGCGCTCAATTTCAATCAAACAAATAAAGTGTCACAGCATACTTTGATGTAAAGAAATACACAAAAATTTACGATTTGGGGAAAACAAAAGTTCATAAAATTATGATTGGTCATTTATTAATTAATTATAATTTAGCCATTTTTATTTTGACATTACTTTAATAGCCTCATCGTACTATAATTTGCCCACTTTTTATTTCCATCACATTTGATTGCGATTACACGTTTCTTCTATGCTCCTAAATATTTATACGTGTATCAGCAATATACAGGGTGTTCAAAAAAAGCATGCAATATTTATATGTAGATAGATCACACTGTGTTGAGTAAAAAAGTTCTAGTAAACATCGAAAGGTCAATCGTTTCCGAGATATAAACATTTTTGTTTATTAGTATCATGATTGACTTACTTGCTTCCATCGCATGCGTTATTTACTGCAGTGTTTATAAATCGCGTTCTGAGATTAATCGTGGATCAGCAATTGTAGCTGTTAGATAGTTACGAAGTTTCATTGAAATGTCGGCATATTATTCAAACGAAGAAATGGCAGACATGCATTTTATGTATGGTAGTGCCAATGAAAGTGCTTTAGCGGTAAAACGTCTTTACGCGGAAAAATTTCCTAATCGAAGGGTTCCTTCTCATACACTCTTTCAAAAACTTCACTAACTACTTTGTGAATCCGACTCATTTAAATCTTGCTATCGAAACTCTGCCAATGCAGAGAATCGTATTTTAAGGATTATAGAGGAAAATCCCGGAACCAGTGTAAGAAGGATATCTGATGCCACAGGAATCGATAGTACTTTGGTTTGGAGAACGTTTCATGAGCAGTTACTGTACCCATACCACATCCAATGAGTACAAGTCCTCACTCTACTGGACTGTCAAGCAAGAATAGAATTTTCTCAGTGGCTACTCACAAAATGTGCTTTGCAACCCAATTTTTTATCTTGCATTTTATTTACCGACGAAGTTGCATTTACACGAAATGGAATAACAAATGTCCATAATAATCATGTATGGGCAAAAGAAAATCCTCATGCACTTATTGAAACGAATCACCAACACCATTTTTCGTTAAATGTTTGGATAGGTATTGTAGATCACCTCCTTGGCCCTGTAATACTCCCAAATCAGCTTTCAGGTGCTGATTATTTCAACTTCTTGGTCAATACATTACCTCAGTACTTGGATGATATGCCTTTGGCAGAAAGATTATCGATGTGGTACATGCATGATGGAGCACCACCTTATTTTTTACGCAATGTGAGAAAGCATTTAAACACGGTGTTCGGTCAAAGGTGGATTGGACGTGGTGGACCAGTTGCATGGCCTCCTTAATCCCCCGATTTAAACCCTTTTGACTTTTTTTTATGGGGTTATTTAAAAAGCCAAGTGTATTCCTCGCCAATAAACAACGTAGAAGAATTACGTAACCGAATCCACCATACTTGTCAAATAATTCGACAAAAATTTTCGAGAGAGTTCGCGACTCTTTAAAAAGAAGATGCCAAGCGTGTGTAGAAATGGATGGTGGACTCGTAGAAAATCTTTTGTAAATAACGGCAATTAGGTAGAAAGTCAATCATGATAATAGCAAATAAAAACGTTTATATCTCGGAAACGGTTGACCTATCGACCTATGTTTATTAGAACTTTTTTACTCAACACAGTATGCCCTATCTACCATATAAATATTGAATGCTTTTTATTGAACACCCTGTATAAATCGACGAATTAATAGATATTATAATAAGAATTATTACAAGTCGATTTAAAATTTGAGGTTAAAATAAAAATTGATATTCTTATTACTATTTATTAGCAGTTTTAAATATTTGGCTGATAATAATGAGTATGCGTTTGAAGTGTGACTTAATAAATTTTATATTAGACGTGCATGATTTAATGTAATATACAGATCAAATTATTTATAATATTTTCTTATAATAAATAAATGCGAGTTTATTACTTCTTTCTTAAATTTGTTTTGAAAGAAAGGTAATATGACAATTTATTTTTGCGCCATTAAATTATATCATGGAATAAACACGAGTAGTAATGTTTAGAATACTGGTACCTTTGTACTGTATTTAATACTTTATCAAATATTTCAGTAAGTTAATATGGAGATAAGAGATTTAATATGATCTCAAATTAAGAGTTTATTATTATTTATTATTAATGTTAATTTTAATATTAAAAAGGAGTATTAAATATTTTATAATAAAGACTGTGGTTGTTAAGAATGTGTAAGTTACTGATAATTTTCATTACACAGGGGAAATTTAATTTAATTATAATTTAAACTTAACATATATATCTTTGATTTGCTACATTTTATATGAAAAACATTTGTAATAAATTTAAATAAAGCTTTTTTACTTTTTTCATTAACATTATTAATTAAAATTATTATCAACTTGTTGGCCAATTTGAGTACATATCGTCAGTAAATCTATTGGGATATATAAACATTTTCTTAATATACTAATATAACAAATATAAATAAAAATTAAGATTTAGATATTAACATACACAATAATATAAATCATTTTTAGATTAAGAGAATATTTCTTTGCGTGAATTAACTGTAATAGCATTTTAATAGTTAGATTTATATATGGTATTTTTGTAGTTAGTACATTAATTTCTACTCTACTGCATTTGAAAATATAAAATTTATGGAAGACTTGTTTAATAATAATAATAATAATAATAATAATAATAATAATAATAATAATAATAATAATAATAATAATGATAATAATAATAACATACTGAAATAAAGAAAGGAATCAGGAATCAGTCAGCTATCACAGATAATTATTTTTAAAGAAATGTATTCTCTATTGTGTATATTATTTACTAAATCAAAACATTTTGTTTATAACTATTACTTTTAATTATATATTTCACTCAAGTATATTTAATTACTTTCTGACATCTACTTTCATGAGATAAAATTATCCTTTAATGCTTAATGTTCTTGACGACATGCATTCATAGTGATTGACAAAATGGTAAGAACTTTCAAACGTGTAAAATCACAGTTTTTATATACTGCATATTTGTAATATGAAATTTAGCAATCTAGTATATATCAGCAATCATCGAATAACACGGATAAGTATATTCGATTAGCTATATACTGATAGCTAATGTATTCTTTATCTCCAACAAAATGCATCATTTATTCTGCAAGATCGCTCATTATTGTGAGTATACAGCATTATCCTATCCCATGGACGATATATCTTGAAAAATTAAAGAGATTAAAAAGGTTGCAATCTAATTTTTTTCATGTTTTATATTTTATTCCTGTTCTACGCTAATGTCAACAGTTTTCACTCTGGAAGAGTCAGTTGGAAGTAGCCGAAGTCGTTCTGGCTCTGCATCAAGCATAATGATACACATAAAGCTTTTACCCGAAGTTTGATCTCTTGGATAAATTGTTACAGGTGCAAACTTATCAACAGAACCATCGACATATGAGCAAAGTTTCCTATATACTTGAGGGAAGTGCCTCTTAAGAGAAACGCCACGAAGTTTTAATTGTCTTTGAATATTTGTAAAGCCAATTTCTCTTGCTCTTCTAGATGCATTCTGACCAACGCTGGTGCTAGTTGGCAATGATGTAAGAACAAGCGTTTCTGGCGAGTCCATTTCCCTGGTAATGTTGCATGGCGACGTTGTTTGTTGCTTACCTTGTGGTGATGTAGAGAAATTTGGCTGTCTAAAAGCTGAATCCAAACGAAGTTTGGCGCACCGTGATACTAATTGCCGTTCCCATTTAACAGCACCGCTTGTTGGTACCTCGCTAACAACGCAAATTGCAACATAAAGGACCAATCTGGTGTCTGGGTTGTAGGATTTACAAAGCCTCATTACTTCAGCATAGAGCTCTGCACCCATTTCACCAGGTAAGAGATCTGACCATCTGATGTAAGTAGGCTCGCCAAGCTCTGGAAAACCATTTCCAACGAATCTCTCTGCTGCTTCTGGACTTGAAAAGAAACATTTGACTGCGCCACGTCCATGGGAAGCATAACCGCGTTTAGCCAAGGCGGAGATGTGCCTTAAAGTTCTTGGATCCTCCTTTGCTGATGATAATACTTCTTTGCAGAGACTACCAGCACGAGAATGCAAACAGATTCTTCTATGTCGCTGCCAATGAGCCCTTCTACATTCTCTTGAGCAGTACAAGCAGGTGCAATTATGGCAGCTCTTGTAGGATTTTCTTGCTTCGAGTAAAGTGGCAGAATTAGTGCATTTATTATTTCGACAGTGCACTATCTTGTCTGTAGCATTCGTTGTCAGACCATTTCTCTCTTGTTGAGCATTATCGAAGGAGACCCGTCGTCGACGATGCTGACCAACAGATTTTGATTGCAAGGAAGCTGATGAAGTTTTTGAAGATATCAGGTCGCTCCCATCGCTCTTTCGTCTTGTCAGCTTTACTGCGTCACACGAGCCACGTTGATCCTCGTACGGTTCCTGTAGCTCGAGCGTGCTTCTAACGGACTCTGCGACATTTCATTAATTTTCGATATCGTCAGAGTAAGACATAATTTTGAATTTAAGCGATAAAAGGCAAGATGGGATAACAATAAGCTGCGGAGAAGGAAGGACACCTTATTTGTCTGTTTTCTAATACAATTCTATTATATTTACCTAAGAACATATTTCTTATTGATTTTTAGGATGAGATAGGTAATAGACAGGAACAATTAACACAAGGAAGATACTTAATTGGTGATGTCCTTGTGATTTCAACAGACTTTACACTTCTACCAGGAATTTTATAACTGTTGCAAACATAATTTTTTCTAACACAGGTTGTGGTGTAATAATTCAAATCAAAACGTTGGTTTTAATCATGCATAATAAATTATTTACCGTTAATAGCTATCTCAATGTAATTCGTGCATTCATAAATATTTATTTATTCTATCAATTAAATTAACTACATAAATTGTTATGTTCATTAGGTAAATCGATTTTGTAAAATTATCAATATTCCCTACGCTATTACTAATTCAAGCTTATAATTGTAACAATTATACATATACAGGTGTTTGAACGTTTAATATATCTATATCACTTTTTGTTTTCCGTTCGATCGAAACACACACACACATTTTTCATTTAAAAATACAATTTTAATTCATAATGCTTTAATAAAATAATCTTTTACAGATATAGAGGATACTCCAGTCCGTCGTGACGTGATGATAAACGATTGTCCCGTTGATACTCGATCCCAGAAATCTTTTTCTCTTTTGATATTCATCGAAGATTTTTACACATTGGTTTCTATTTCGAACTTTGTAGTGATTGCCACTGCGCACTTGGTATCGTTAATAAGATATATTTATAATTGTATTTTAATTATTATTATTATTATTATTTTTTGATTTATTTTTTTTTTTGAACATCTCCTCTCTTTTTATTATTTCTTCGGACATTTAAAAAGTGCCCGTTTCGATCGTTCGTGTTGATTCTCTTGTACATTCGTTTTCTTATTTAATTGCGTTGGCTCCATCTTGCACCATTATCGTATTAAAGCGTTAAGCATTATTTCGATTCGTATTATAAAGATTCGTCATTTATAAGTAATTTTTTGATCGTGTATCTTTTTTTGATAAAGGAGTTCTACATAATGTATATTTTGATGATTACGTCAAGTGATACAACCTGCGTATGTACAGATATACATACACGGTATTAGAACTCAATAGAAATTTTGTTGAGAAATTTGTTGTGCGTCAAAACGTAAACTTACATAGTCCTCCTACCTTGGAGGTCTTGACGTAGGTCGCTGCAGCTTTTCCCGGCTTTAGCATTAGTCTGACCAATGTTTGATCGATGACGCATGGACGCCGAAGTCGCAGAGCTAACTACAGGACCTGGTCCAGGACTAGGTGTACGCGACGCAGGTGGCAGACCCAGAAGGGAATCAAGGACATCCTCTAGAGTCGTTGACCCGGGGCTTGGTTTGTTTCGCGGTACAGCCGATGTCATCGTCATCTCGACCATGTCACCCTGTCCCGAATCTAATCGATTTTATTGAAAGAAAAGAAAAAAAAAATAGAGACAAGGCACAAGGTCACTCTCTTAGAAGAAGCGAATATTTTTATCTGTTATATCATCTCACTTCCTATTCCCATAATGCTATTTAACTCGTTATTTAATCATTATTACATATCGCGTTTATTAGTCCAAGCGAGCTATATAATTAATACCGATTATTATTATTATTATTATGTAAAAATAGAGGAACAAGAATAATAATAAGAAGAAGAACACGATCAGAAGCGGCATGCGCGTAAATACGAATTTAGAAAAAAACTTCATTTATTATTTAAATAATTGAAAGAAAAAACGATTGACAAGAGTTCCATTAGACCTTCAAAATACCGACTTTTGAAAAACTATACACTATTGTCAGGTTTCATTAGGACCATAAATACATAGTTCAAACAATAAGACTATTCAATACTCAATCGTTTCTAAGACAAAAACGAAGGGAAAAGTTTTCACATTCATTGTTATATAGTAGTATAAAAATAATAATAATAAACGAGGATGGATTAAAAAATGTTCAGTCTAACACGCGACGTTGGAATGATATGTTTTGAGTCTAACACCAAAAGTGGATTGAAAAATATTGAACTTAACACGACGAGAGGGGCTGAAAAGTTTGGAATACAACACGCGATGGGATTGATTGAAAAGTTTTGAGCCTAACATGTGACAGTGGGTTGAAATTTCTTCCTTTGTTTTTTATAGAAAACGGTTGGGTCTTATTGCTTGTACAATTTATCAGTGGTCTCCTAATGGACCCCTATAATAGCGTAAAGTTTTAAAAAAAATCGGTATCGACGAGGTCATATGAAATCCTTGTAAGTGTTGAGAACGCGCGTGAATGAAATTTTTATATGAAATCGATTTTCAACGAGAGAAAAGTTTGAACGAAGTAAATATAGGAATTTACATAAGGAAGTGCGCCAGTTGTGTGGCATGCTACGGATATGGGTCGCTTTTATGAAAATCACACGAAAGATATACGGTGAAAGAAGCAATTACAAACATCTGCAATTTAGTTGTAGCTGCTGCCAATTTTCTTCTTCTTTTTATACATATATATATAATAGTAGTTATGATAAAGAGTTATACGAAAGGTAACTATTGAAGTTCTTAAATTATCGTTAATGCAGGTTTACTAGATGAACGTTATATAAAAAAGAAAATAAAAAAAATAATTATATCACTTTACGGTTAATGAATATGGGACAAACCAGTATTCTTCGTGTCATTGAGCATTTATGGGTTGGCTATTATAATACTGTTGAAGTATTTTATCATAGATTGTAAACTAAGGCCAGTGATAGATATATTACACGTAAATATACTTCTGACCGTGATTCCGTTTGGGAGCCACGCTGTCGTCTACTAGTCTTGACCTAGAGCTAGACCGAAATGTAATCGATGTGGAAAGAATCCGTTGTATTACGATTGCTTCTCAACAAGAGAGAGAGAGAGAGAGAGAGAGAAAAATTCTAATTTGTTTTTATGCGTAATTTATAATTTTTCTTTTTGTTTCTTAATTTTTAAGTCTTATTATTCTCATATACTTAAAGTTTATTCTTATGGAGCGAACGAGCTTACATTATATGAGATTTTTTTGATGTAATAATAAAAACGCGCGAAAGCAAGACAAAGAGAAAGAGAGAGAGAGAGAGAGAGAGAGTGAAAAAGAAAAAAAGTAGAAAGTATTAAGAAAAAAGAACAAACACATGTGATTTTTTGAATATTTTAAATGAAAAAAAGCGTATAGCGAAAAATGATAACAAGCCAATTATAACACAAAATTCGTCACTTACCGTGGAAATATAACATGGATGGATTATAAATAATAATAATAATAATAATAATAATAATAATAATAATAATAATAATAATAATAATAATAATAATAATAATAATAATAATAA